ACGGCTAGGCCACGAATAACGACAACAATAGAAAAGGTATTTCTGTCTCTAATCATAAATTAAAGTATTAAAGCTAATAATATTAACACATAAAATTGTAGGTTAATGATATAGAAATAGGCATTGTTAAGCTAGAAGGAGAATTTCGCTATTGTTGCGCAGAATACCTAAGAATGAAAATCATTAACTTTAAAAATACTCAAGCGACAAGCGTAAGTTTGATTATGTTGCAAGGAGAAGATATTAAGTCAATTGATTCCACAGTTGCCATGGTAAGTACACAAAAACGTCACAAATATACGCATTCATAAATAAATATATTAAATAATATTCTAGAACATACTTTCATTAAAAGAAGATTTAATTTTATTAAACTGCGAGCTGTTTTGTTGGAACTGGAATTACAAATCAGCCGGCGTATTATATCGCCTAAATCCTAACGCACGAGGCATGTTTAAATTTGATATAACCCTACAAGAAATAATTGATGATATCAAAGGAAAAAATAGCAGAAATCACAGTTTGGTATAAACACAATAATTAATAAGATATATATTTTTTTGTATATGTATTGCAAATAAAAAAATACACATGTTCGTAAACAGGTAAAACCTTAGTAATTTTATTTCACAGGGTGTGGTTAAATAATGGGCGAGTCAGTAATAATATACAATCGCTGAATATGTTAAATGACACTGCGATATTCACCCATTCATTCCTGGAACTATATACAGTTGGGCGAGATGGTCGGTTGTTGTTCATATAAGAGATTATTTATTAGGAAGTCTTTTTAACAATTATAGCAAAGCTACTCTCGCTCTCTCTACAGATAAAACATTTTAAATAAACAAATGATACTATTTAAATAGAACAACATACCGAAATATAGGTTTTGCAGTTTGGAAAGTTTAAATCTACAGAATTCATATTTTCCGTACGCGCCGAAACTAAAGTTTCTCTAATTCTCATGACTAGATCAAATAATTTTTCACACACTTCCAGAAATTTACTTTATATATTTAAATGGGCCATGCATTATAGCATTTAAGAATAAACGAAATACAAGCACAATGATTTAAATGATATTGCAAATTAAATTTGTACAATACAATTAGCACCTGAAGACCACCTGAATTTAATAAGCTAAACCCATTGTATTTACTAGTATCACACAGGTTTGATAATGTACAACACTTAAATGGTTAATATAGAAACATACCTCCACAACGTTAAATTCACCCTCTTTGGCTTCTGCACCCAACAGAATTTGTTTGATTATTAATTTTTGACCACGAGGAAAGTCTTCATCATTAGAGAGCACATCCCACGATACAGTACTATCCTGCCCAGTAAGAGTTACACCTACAATTTGAAAGGTTGTTACTAAATGCTAGTATTTTATTAATGTTAGTTTGTCATGTAAAATAATTGAATGTCGAAGCACCGGCAAAAGACAGACACCACTGACACTTCAGCAATTAAGTTAAAAGAACATATTTCACAAAATAAAATCAGTAAAGTATTTATTGCACTGTTAAGTTTCGTATTTACCATAAAATGATTCGTCTGACATAGCGATTACTTAAGAAAACTTCGATTAATAGAATTTAATTCACGCTCTAATATGCGCAAATAATTTCGATAAAGATATGACAGCAAAAACGCCGGCGAACACCAAAGTGACAGACAAAAGTAAATGTCAAACGTATTTACGTTGCCATATTATAACAGAAAAAATGTCTACACCAGATTGAGTGTTAAATGTAACTAATAACATTATAGACGGATTTACTCTGTCTTGCAATGTCATTGCGAGGTGCACGAAATGTAAGAATGTTATATTAAAATTGCAATAGTTCAAGAACACTTCTGTTGCAGAATTGCATCAAAATGAAACCGCTGTTTTTGCAGCATACCACATTCACATGAGAAGCAACAAATACCAAAACAGCTATTTTTTTCCTTTTTTGTTTTGTTGTAAGCATACATACATGGGCTAAGGTATAGTAAGCAGTTGGAAGCAACTTTGTGCGTGTATTTTGTTGTCGTCCCTTACAAGCTTGCAATTTGTGCATTTCGTGCACCTTGCAATGAGTTTGCAAAACAGAGTATATACACCTTATAATTACTGTGTTTACACTTATACTAGATTTACAATGGCTCTTATATCATGTTTCCAATATAGCAACAACTACTTATGTTAATGAAATTAAGAAAAGTTCGTTTCCATTCACATAACTTTTTAAAAGTAGTAAACGTACATTTTACCAATAACTCTCATTAGCAATCGAACAACACACTCATCAACATTAAAACAAACAAAATAAATTGATATGACATTAAAGATGTTATCCTGTTACACTATACTATCTACTATATGTTGTATCCACAAACAATAAAAAAGGTGTGTTAAGATATTTATCATTTTACGACATTACCGAACATTTTTTAATTTAGTTACGTCTAAAAACCCATATTGTTTTAGAATTCATTATATATTTTTACATACACCATCGTTCGAAATTGTTAGTAAAAGTTGATATGGCAGCTCAAAAATTTTATTTTTTTTTTATCAACAAATTTATCTTCCAGTTTGTTTTGATGTATTTTCTGAATGAATTGGCGGTGATTGAAGTGGCATCTACAACTGTTATTTAGCATTTATTTAATTTCAAGATTTTTTTTTTACAAAAATGGATCAGTTTTTTTATGGTAAGCTCAATTTACAAATTATTTTTTTCTTTATCTAAAAAAATAACTTCTCTTTTAAGGTACTACTCTTGATATTAAGACTCCATTAGCTACCTTTGAAAATGAAACCAATATCGAGGAAAATCTTTATAATGCGCAAAAATTAACTATTAAACGTATTATTCTAGATCCATCTGCAAAAGAAAATGAGTTCAATATTATTGAGGTAAAAGCTGCACAATTTCCTGTTTTTATGTAATTATAACTAGTTATTATTAGGCAGAAACGCTAAACTGCGACTCGGAGAATATTAGAATTCCAATTGCTATATTAAAGGCCGGCGAAACTCGAATGCTCAAACCGAATATTGAATTTCCTAATAAAACAGTTTCATTTAAACTTATCAAAGGAAATGGTCCAGTCCACATTTACGGCAATGTAGCAACTGAATCTTCATGGCTGCAAGATGATTGAAGACAAATCAAATTCATTTAGTAATATTCATAATTGTAATAATAATAATTGTAATAAAGAAGCTAACAAATGATAAAAGAAAATTTAAAAGTTTAATGTTTGTATTTTTATATTTGAAAGTTTCTAATGCAAACTTGTTGAATATTTTTATATATAAGTAAGGAAATGTGCGTTATTATTGCATTCGGGCTACAGATATTTTCTGACGAGGCACTCTGAAAATAGTTTTAGATTAGATATTTAAATATTGAAAAAGTTATACCAAATTCTACCTTATATGTATGACACGTCGCCTATCGCTTGGATGTATTAAATCTAATTTTTGACTCCAATCAATTTGTTTCATTTCATGCCTTAATCTTTTCCGATCAAAGTACGAAATGACACAGCTAGCCGGAATCCAAAATATTGATGTTAAAACCACAACCGCCACTGCAACAGAATAATGCCAAAAACAACATTTTTAAAACTGACAAATTTACTTACTGACTATGTTGTCTTTTAAAAACCTCAGAACACGGTTGATGTTTATTTCTTCAATTATATCCCAAAACCTCTCGACGACGTCTTGAATTGTTTTTTCACATACGCCCTAAAATATTAATATGATATATTATATGTATGTATGTTACACATAAGTTCAATAAGTTAATGATATTCCTAAAAATTGTTTCATACTTTATTGCAAAATCCTTGTATACATGGTGTTCCGTCTGGCAAAACGTCTGGAGGTTCTACAGGAAAGCACGTCTCATTGATACTCATACGACAACAACTAAAGAAAACTCTTTTGATTATGATACTGGTAAAATTTGGATTTCACGTACCGTTTGCAAGCATCCTGAATTATGTCGCACATACAACTCTGCAATCCTTGCGTCTCGCAATACGGTACGCATTTACCGTTACGACATTGTCCACGTTCTTGACATATTGTGCCATCATCCATTGGTGGTGATTTTGGACATTCTGCAATTACACCCGTACAACGTGCTTCCTGTTCGCAAGTAGCATATTGAGCTTCCCGGCATTTCATGCCAGCTGGCATAAATTGACAATTCTGACAACATGGTGAATTTTTGTCACTACATACAGCACCTTGATTACGACGCAGTTTACAGTTTTTGTCACAGCAGGCATCATTGTCTTCTGTTCCTAGCAGTCCAGCATCACATTGCTCGTCTCCCTCAACACGCAAGTTTCCACAAAATGACTCTTCTGGTTCAGAAAAGCATCGACCAGATTTAGCTTGTAACACTTTACGTATTGAGCGTAGGGAACAGGGAGAAAATTTCTGTAAAGATTATATTTTTATTTTAGTTTTAATTTTTAAAAATCTGATAAAAACCTTGTTATTAACATCGTATCCGCTAACAGAATACGTATACATCAAGAAACTTCCACCTTGTGAAGCACTGGGTGAACATTCAGGTATATCTGGATCATGTTCGGATCCCCAGTTATGTCCAAATTCATGTGCAGTCACCAAGTCCGCTTCACGTGTTATTACGCGTTGTCCATAATGATTTCTCGAACTACTGAGACCGGAATTTAAGTAAAGGGTGTAACCATTTTTAAAGTATTCTGTGAAATATTAAAAAATGTTTTTTATTATCATAAGCTTACATTAAAAACAATTACTAAATATTAATTAACATAAAACTATACAATATTTTAATAAAAATTGAAACGAAACATCAAAAAACGTAAGGATTAATAATTTAAGTGAAGCAAAAACAATAGAAATTTTGCAACCTGGAGTGCATATTCCACCAACTGAATTTCGTCGAGGCGAACCAACATAAGCCAAACCTAAGATTCCGCCTTCAAATTTTAAGTCAGTAAAAAGATGAGCTAAACAAAAATCTTTATGACTATATTCCCGTGAAAAGACCTGCATTTTTAATGAAATTTTTGCAAGCACAAAAACAGGAAGAAATATTTATTGCGAATATTTTAAGAAAGCATATCTTGAAAACTATTATCTAATAGTTTAACAAAAATTCTACACAGATACTGAAACTTACCTCCAAAAGGTTACGGACATCCCACTTTTCCCGAATTTGATTATAATGAGCTTCACCACCACGAAGTCGAGTGGGTTCAGAATGAACAACAATTTTTTTTATAACAAATCCCATACCCTTAAATCCCTCTTGATCCTGCAACAAAATTAATATTTAAATAACTGAGATTATGAACAAGTTTTAAACTTACTGAACGATCTTGCCACACTGTATCATTATAAATCTTGTGTACACGGTCTATAAGGCTTATCTATAAAAAATAGAATTTGCATTAAAATATTTTACGTTTGCATACAGATAATTTACCAAATAATTAATAGTAGTTTTTGTATTACTTCCACCCATTTCCTGAAAAAACCTGTAATCTGCTACCAATAAAAGCGGGCAACGTGTTTTGGTAGGAGTGTATTCATACTGGTCAGCCTGCCGTTTTGCACGTTTATGCACTTGTTTATGACTTTCATCTGTCAAATGACTACTTGTTTTGTGTTTATGATATATTTCATTCTCATTTTCATCGAGAGTTTCTAATTCTGAAAACGTTTCATGTAAAGTGAATAAAATAAGTATAACTTTTTAATATTAATATTTTATCATTCTAATTTAAAAACAATTATTAAATCACCTAAGCCTTCTTTTACGTAACCGCATGTTGAAGCCATGCCACCTAATTCATTACTTCCACGGTTCCAGTTAAGTTTCACATCCGAAATTTTGTATGCAACCATAGAACTGTTCCCAACAGTAGGTAAATGACGCCATGAAGGCTAAAATACAATTAACATACAATATTTTATAGAAAAAATAAGGTTTTTCTTACCTCTATATGATAAATTTCCTCTGGTAAATGTATTGACATTGTCATCAAACCATCCGCAATATGAGCACGTACTGATGACTCCATTTCACCAAAAACTCTACCAGCATAAAAGTTATCGTGATCTAAAAAACCAAACAATTGATGAACTTTTTTATTGCTGACGTCTTAAGACAAAATTATTATGACTATGATTATATTAAAATTAAGCATATATAAAATAATTATAATTGGGTTGATTATAGCCATTATAACATACCTAAATGGACAACAGTTTCATTGCCATCTCCATCAACTGAATATGCTTTAAAGTTGCTATGAAGTACTTCGCGATGTGGGTGTAATATTAGCCGAAAATTTTTACCCAATGTTTTGAATTCCACTTCTTTAATGACATTGTACGGATGTGAGCTTTGTTTAGCACCTCTTTTCACGATTTTGTGCGTCACAGAGTCTTTTGAGAGAACTTCGTAATGGCGCAATGTGCGATGTATGGTTACTTTAAATAAAATAGCGTTTATATGCAAATTTAATAAATAATTTGTTTGTTTCATTTACAGGCATTTTGTAGCAGCATTTCAGCAGATATAATATAAAACAAATAAAACTTCATGATTTGGAACTCCCTAAATATCACACACACGAAAAGTTTACTTAATCCCCTAAAATGCTAGTTTAGTCTATATTTCGAGAAGCCGTTTAAGTTTTCTTCTCTTCTACAGATAAAATCTTTCTTAAACAACAATAAACATTGCAAGTTCTTTCCTTTTTTCAAGTTTCCAATAACAAAAAAAGAATACAAAGGAAAAAGTAATCGAAAACGAAAAAGGTATACCATCCACACAATATCATGAAATATTTTCGAATTACACAACAAATTAAAATATTTTGCTTTCAATATGGTTTACAAAAACTTTAAAGCCACATAATTTTCTCTTAACATTTTATTTGCTTTTTCATAGCTGTCGTTCACAATGCTTTTCCAATTTGTGTCGTTACAAAACCGTTCACTATATGATATCATACAACAATCTGACGTCCAAAAGTGTGATTGAATCTTATATGGCATTTACATTCAAATGACTGATTTGGGTCAAAAATCACAAATGTGAAGGAAATGACTGATTTCTGCATACAAAATCTTATATGTGCAAATGAGATCCACACTCGCGCAATCGATCTCATTTTTTAGAAATGAGTTCCAACAAGTTGCAAATAAGTTCCAAACGCAAATGAATATATTGAATATACCTTAAGTAAAAGTTTTTCATGGCATTTTAACAGTTTGAGAAAGTAATATTCGATAAAATGACAAAAAAATACACGTTTGAATGTCACTCTGTAAAGTTACAAGAAAAAACTGTCAAGTCCATCAAATAGTATATTAGTAAAAGAATACCCGACAGCTTCTTTTCCTACATTGAAAGTTTTTACTCTGGAAGCTCCTATATAAACGCCAAATCGAAGGCTAATATGTTACCTCCAAATAAATTAAAACTTTTATTAATGCCAATGAAACTATTTCAATTTTTGATTTCTTTAAATTTTAGTATAGTTCCATCGCGCAAATTGTCACTTAAAGTTGTAATGTCAATTTTTCTTTCGTGCAGAATTAGAACACAAATAATGTGTAGTGAAACTAAATAAGCTGTCATAAAACGCCAAATATCAAATGTTATTGAACCAACCGTTTTAAAAGGAAATTTCGACTCGGTTTCCAATAACCCGCATTACCATAATTTAACCAACTCATAAACCAACTTAACCGATGTCTTAAAGCTTACTACTTGTTTCATAAAATTAATAATTTAAGTATCAACATTGTATATATACTCATTTGCTTTTATTTGTGCGTAGGAACACACGCAGAATATAGTTAGTACATTAAGACTGAAAAGTTTTCGGAAATTCTCATTTAAAATTCGCGCGTTGTATATTTTTCGATATTTTAAGTTTATGTAGTTTGGCAGCACTGTCCTTAATTACTATGCCAAAAATGAGGGCGATCTGTCAGACAGTTCGTTTACGGCAGCTGTTGAAACCAGTTCACCTCAGTAGTGCGTTGCGAAATGTCTTCGACGGTCGTACGACCGTCCTGAAAGGCTTTGTACCACTCATAAACTTGAGTTTTCGATAAAACTGATTCCCCATAAGCCTTTTGTAGCATTCGCAACGATTCTGCACACGAAATTTCGTTCGAAACACAAAATTTGATGCAAACTCTTTGTTCAATATTTTTTTCCATTGTTTTT